TGACATATGTGTGATACGAATAGACTCTAATGAATAAATCAATAAATTAAATAAAGCCTTTTAGAGTCAACACAGTTATTAGTGTGTAAATATATATACTTTATTTGAAAAATTAATATATAAATGTTTCGATCCTATTTTGGATCCTCTTCAGTATATTGTAATAATTAAATATTATAATAAAAAACATAATGGACAATGAATAGGTTGAGCAACGCTTTTTAATGTACATATTCATCAAACTGTCTGGTTTACTGCATCATACAATAGTGTAAAATAAAAATAGTTAAAATAAAAATTGATAGATCTTAATTTAAAATTAACTAAATAAAGACTAGAATAAAATTTACATGAAATGTTGATAATTAATGTCTAAACGATTTTAACAACATGACTGTTACGTACAATTCAATCTATTGTATGATGCAGTAAATCGGATAGTTTGATGAATATGTACAGTAAAAAGCATTGTTCGACCTGTTCATTGTTCATATAAATACACATTTCGTATAACATTGAATTCAACCATAGATTCATAATTTGATTACTATTTATTTATTCAGTTAATTGGAATTTGATGAATAATTATTAACAAGATGTGGATGTAAAAAATTGACCAGCTTAATTCAGCGTATGACCATATAACTAATATGAAAATAATATGAAAGCAAAGTATTATAAGCGAAGAAATATAAGTAGAGATAGTAGTAATACTATAAAAGCAGAGAAAATTTATATAGTAGAGAATAATAATAGTCAAAATTTAATTTTTTATTCGGAACTACTATAATATGTATAATAATAAACGATTTTTCAAAAAATCTATCTTTTGAGAGGGGTTGCGACACCCCGCCCCCAATGGAGCACGTGGGGTACGAGGGGGGTCGAAAATCTTAAATAGCAACATAGGTCAAGTGGGGGCTCATTTGAAAGGGCTTTTCGAGGCGAATCCAAAACACTTACGTGTTTCGGCGTTTTTTCAAAAAATTTTTTTTTTTTCAAGTTATTCACCCGGTTCGGGACTTTTTGAACACCCTGTATATACATTATATTAGCGGAAAGTTTGTTTCGTTTTTTCAAGAAACGTTTATAAGGGAAATATCGACAAACTTTCCGCAATACCTAATACATATAGTATATAATAAGGAATTTTATGTTAAGTTGTTAATAATTATCAGAAGAACAATAGCACATATAGTATAGTTTCGTCGGCTAATTCAGGTATTTAATTCGGGCCAATAACTGTTGCGCGCCAACACGAAATATTTTACTTAAAAATGAGTACATCGATGACCATTTAAAAGAATCATTCGTTGATACATCTTTTACCATGTCCAAGAAGTCAGCTGAACATGTTGTACATATAGTCATACATACTTCTCGGCTGTTAGTGAATCGATCCGTCTATGCTTTCGTGCATTTTGCATTTTATCGAACGGTCTCCACCAGACCGCACGCGTGCGTGACGAATATCTTCTATATTTACACGTGCGTGCGTTGGAACCGCATTCGCGTCGGACCTCCCCGTGAAACCGTCAGAAAACGGTCACGATTCTTACGTCAACGGCTTACACGATGGCGGTGTGATAGTTATATGATTACCCCCGTCGCTTACATGTTTTAACCTTAACCTGGTTTCACACCTCGCACACGGTAGCAATAGATATGTAAACGACTTTATAAGTATAATATGAAGCTGTCGCGCGAAGACGGGTGAAAAATATCAGCAAGAATGGCATTATTTATTGTTGTGTCTCATGTCTATATTCGCGTAATTCCTTCGACCGATTCTACAATATTGTAACAACATTATCTACATGCTTCCCATTTTTTGCCTTCATTTTACGTGTATAAAAAATTGTTTGTTATTCTTGTAAATAATGATATAATAACATAAAGATTGGAGAGATTCACAGATAAAAAGGAAGAATATTGCAGACGAGATACAATTTTGTTTCTTCAAAATTATTTATGTAAAATATTAGATACATCATCAATGAGAGAATATACTATACTTTCTAATTCTTTACGTATATTTTTATATTTAATACTATACTTTATAATTTCTAAAAAATGTTTAGTATACACGAAAAGCATTTTTTCTTAAAGTTTATTTTGAAAATATGATAGTCGTGGAACAACATTGTATTTCAAAGAATTTTATATTTTAGTAAATCTCTCTCATTCAGTAATAAAACTACAATGAAATATAAATTAAACCTGATTAATTTTACTGAAATGCATAGTAGAAATCTTTAAAATACTGTACTATAATTAACATATTTTCCAGGATAAATTTTAAAAGAAAATTCTTTCCGTATATAATATTTATATAAAATATATAAAATATATATAAAATGTACATTTTTTAAAATTCGATTAATCAAATATTATTACTTATATAGATTTATTTTTGCGAATGAAACTTTAAACTTTCTTTCTTGAGGCAGAAAAATAACGAATAACATATTCTCATAAACATATTCTTCAATGGTACTCATATTATCGCGGTAAGGAGTTTTTATCACGTTCTACGTGTTTAGCACTGCGCGAAAACTGACTACGTCTACAAAAATTCGACGAAGAAGAGATGCAATAATACGTTCATGATATACTGTGTCACTGATATAGCAAGCATTATATCTCGCTTTTATAGACTCAACATAAACGTTTATAATATAATTACAAATCTTTTTAGTCATTTTCTAGTGAAATTATTCATATCTTTCAAGAAAGATAGACGGAATTATAAAAAATAAAAAGCGTATAAAGAAATAATGGAAAAAAATTAAAGCATATAAGAAAAAAGATTGTTAAAAAGATCACTTTTAGGAACAGTTGACTTAAGGAAAATTTATGAAAGAAGAAAAAATTTAATTTTCTCTCATTAAAAATTTTAGGAAACTTTTTTTAATTCTTTTCTTAAAGAGTGTAACTTTTTCTTATTAAACTTACTTTAATAATTCAAGAATATATTATAAATTTAATTTAATTAAAAAATTAATTCACACACTCGCATATTAAGAATTTAATTTCATTCAATATTATATTTTTTATTTTATATTAACATTTTTTTATATTAACCTTTAACTTGACTTAATTAACAATAAATCATAGTTTGTATTAACTTAATTAAATTCTATTAGTTTAAGACATAAACTTTGTTTGCAATTTTATAGAATACAAAATCAAATATATTCATTAAAAATTGCATTCATAAATATTATATTTTATTTCGTAATTATATTTCGTAATTATATCATCGATTCATAAGTAAATTATCATAAGCAGTATGTAAATAATATCCATGTACAGTAAAAAAATTTGCAGAGATCAAAATATCTGTGTATTACGACGCATTAGTAACGTTGCACGAAAATAAATGCAGTGTTTAACTTTTTCAAGTGATAATATGAAATACATGCAGATATTTTTCATATATACTTGAAACGATATACACGTTCATAATTCAAGCTGTTGCACCTGCGAAGCATAAATTGAATGATAAGGAGATAACAAATACATTGTTCGTGAACGTAAATCCGTTTTTTAAATTTTAAGGTACATCTGCGATCATGTCGCAACACACCACACACAATGTCTGCCTAACAATGATCTAATGAATTGAAATAGAACAGCCAGATATACATTGATAAACGTTTTCGCATGATTATTCAATTAACAAATTGAACAGCTCATTTGTAAGTGAGAAACAGAACTAAAAAAATTAGATATAATTTTAATCAAATTGTTGAAAGCAATTTAAATTTTAATAAAAATTCTATTATTCTATTTGTATTACAACTCATTTTAGCAATATAATATTTTTATAGTGTTTAACTATGTATAAAATAATTAGAAAAACACAAATATATTATATAAGAGATAAATTTAAAATAAATATGGTGAAAAGTATTTATTATACATTTAAATAAATTATTTTCATTTTCATGAGAAAAGAAAACATAAAAAAAAGAATTTTTCAATTTTACATACTCCATATAATTAATAAATGTATATCAATTTTTATCATAATAATGTATTAATAATGTATTAATTAATAACTATACACAATATAAATCCAAAAGTTTTTCATGATAGTACGATATCACATAATTTAAAAGGAAAAATTTAATATATTTTTACCTTTTTATTATTACGTTTACTTCACAACGAAAATTTATAAAATTTATGTATAATTTTTCATTAACGAGTAACATATATAGTCTTTCTATGTAATGGTATGTAAAAGTGTGGTCCCAGAAAGAAGGTGACAATGATAAATGATATTATAAGTCTGTTTTCTGTGGCTGAACCAGTGTACACTTTTGGACCTTAAAGTGAAATAGATATATATTTGATATTTAAAAGCGAGAAAGAAAGTTCTATTGCAGTCTAGTGCAGGAACAGAAAACAGAACATATGATAAAAACGGCAAGCAGTCTTCCGATTACATCGCAATATATTTATGATGATATTTCTACTATTATATTTATTGCTTCTTTTTTTGTTTCTTTGCATAGCTTTTTTTAAATTAGCATTATCCAATTATTAATAAACTAAACTATTTCTGCAATTAACTTTTTTAATAAACAATAAGCTCAAAAATTTCGATTGTATAGAAGAAAATTTAAAAAAAGAACGAGTTTTTTTAAATATCTTTCAAAAATACTAGTAAAACATTATATTTTTATGATAATTGGTAAAATATACGTATACATACATATATAATTTTTTAATAAGATAGAACATATATTACAACAATTGTAATTACTACACCGTTTTTTATTAGTAATTATTATAATTTATTCAAATTAAACAACTTATATTTGCTCGGTATTGATTTAATTATATCTATGATTTAATTATAGTAGATAACATACATTACAATTTAATAATTCGTAATACTTGTATATACTTATCATATATTTATAAATTACAAAATTATAATTCCACTTACAGTTACTAACGGCTGTGAGAGAGACGCAGAAATATCTTACCTGTATTAATTTCCCTAGTCTATCTTAGACCGTTGGCTGTAGGAAGAGATTTGAGAATTTCCCCACGCACTGATCTAATACACTCTGTCTCTGATACCTTGTTGATCGGTTCTCGCTTCTCTTCTGTGCGGTGATAACAGGGCCCTAACAGTTTAAGACCAGCTGCCCTGATCGTGACACACCAAGAGAGAGCGCAACTTCCACGACGAGGACTCAGCGCAGACTGACGCGGCAGCCGTTTGCGTGGGTCTGTCTAACCCACGCTGCCAGTTACTACTAGAGTCAAACGCAGGTACATTGATATGAAACGTGTGTGTTAAACAGTGTTTCTCAAACTTCTTCCAGATAACAGAAGGCACTATAATGCCCTCTTTCTTTTAAATGTTTTAATATCAAATTTGTAATCACAAACAGAATTTTCTCTTTAGATAAATAATAAAGAGAGAAAAGAGATCCCAATTATTAAATACAATAAATTAAAATATTAAGTAACATAAAGTATTACGTAAGCAATTGTTATTTCAATATATTGAGTTAAATAAGAAAAAATTATAAACAGCATAAAATAGATAAAACATAAAAATATATTTTATCAATTAATTAATTATATGTATTTGAATTGATAAGATCTTAGGCTAAAGAAAGATTAAGTCGATAATTTTTTTCAAACCTTCTCTTCTATCTCTTTTTTAATTTGGGAAATTCTTTCTCGATAAATCATATAAAGTGATTATATTCAAATAGAACAACAAGGTTTATAAAATGTTTAAGAATGCTATTTTTATAAGCTTTAAAACTATTTAAAGTTATTTTAAAAACTGTTTACAAAATCGATTAAATAATCATTGTACAAATGTTTTTAAATATTTATTTTTGTAACGAAAATTATTGAACGAATAACATTGTTCAATAACATTTGACCTTTTTTTCCTGCGGTGAACAGAGTCAGTATTTCTTAATAAATTCAAAGTCGCTGATCCAAATCCTCCACAGTAAAAGCCCGTCATCTGTCATTTTGAATCCGCTATTTTAAAAATTTCTCTATTTTAAATTTTAGATTTGATATCAGCAACTTCGAGAAGGTCTAAGATACTTTTTTGATACAAATACATGTATATCTACTTTCCAGTTTCAATCCGCTAATTTGGATCCGCCATTTTATATTTCAGAAAACGTTAATAACTCAATAAAAAAAAAATCGCAGTAAAAAAGAAAATTCTTTTTAAACGTAAAGATTAGCTTTTTAGAATTAATTAATGAAATTAATTAATAAAATTAAAAAATAATATTTTGTATAAGGTTTTGTTCCAAAAAATAAAATATGGCAAAAAATGCTGTTATTATTCGATTTATTTCAAAACTGACGTGGATATCTTTTGCCGGCGGATTTGGATTCAACGACCTTTATTGAGAATCTCTGCACAAGTCAGATATATTATTCAATCGATATAATTTTCCTTATTCTTTTTTTCAATGAAGCACAATGCATCACCGTGAATTTATAGAATAGAAAACATGGGAAAGTCTAGCTTATTATTTTATTTACGCCAATTTCATAGAAAAATCCATTTGAAAAATTTTCAGAATGTTAATTATAAACTATTCGATGGTGACGTACAGCGTAATGGAAAATTAATAGCAGCAATAAAATAATCACGACTGGTGACATCAACCATTGCTTTGATTATATTGCTAATAAAACATCCTATTTAAAGAAATGGTATATTTAACGCACTCATATTGAGATGAGTTTCTCTAAAAAAATATTTAAAATTTATGAAATATTATTATATTATATTTATGAATCGTACAATATTTCTCTTTCTGTGCGTACTTTGAATTAAATTATAGATGATGATTTAGCGACATGACGTGTCAGCTATAAATGTGAGATTGTGTTTTGTTAATTTCCATCACGGAAAATGCTTAATTTATTGATCATTCACAAAATTATATATAATAATTATAATAACTAAAAATTTAATTCACACAGAGCAAACATATAAGTATATTTAAAATAAAAATAGATTATAGATAATAGCAATACATAATAGAAATAGAAAATACTATACATTTACTATACATTTACTATACAAATTACTATACATTTCAATAATTTAATATAAATTAAAGAATATTCATATATAATGAATATTTTTGTTTTTACTATGCAGATGCTAATTAAATTTTTTGCTGATTAGAAGAAAATAGCGTTTAATCTAAGCTAATCTTTTTCAAAGACACCTTCCTTTTGAATATTTACACATTATTAATGTAAAATGCAATTGTGTGTATGCATTTATTTTAGCTTTCAATTATATGCAAATACAGACATATTATATATACATACATATTTGTAATAAAATTATACGTATATAATTTTATTACAGATTGTAACGTTATCAAGATAAAATTGTATAAATTCGAATACTAAAGGAAAGTAAAACTTTTTTAAGGTTTTGTCATCGCTCGGGAATTGTTTTATTTCTATGTTTTCTTATGTACTTCTTCGTAAAAACCGTAAATAATCATTACAATAACACCAGACTTAAGGAAAAACTGATACATTGAAATAAAATGAATAAAATCCTTATTCGCATCATCATAAAATCACTGTCAGTTATGCTTCAATAATTTATTTATAGAGTTCCAAATTAGATCAAATGCGGATAATATTGTACCACGAAATGTTAATTAGATTATGTTTTTCATTATAACATTTGTCTCGATTTCCTCCATTCTAAGGATTATACATCTTTAGTTTTGGAGTAGAGGAAATCGAGATGGCAAATGAGGAAAGTACATAAAGAAACACAAATAAAACAAACGCAAAGTTTGAAATAAGAGCCATAGAGAGCATGTTCCATCGAGTATATTGAGAACACTATAAATTGCTTAAACACTTATACGATTATACGATTACACGATTATATGATGACACGTTCATTTTCAGCATTAAATTATTCTTTATAATCACCTTAATCTTCTACAACATACATCTTTACTTTTGCTTTACATGTACATAAAAATATAAATATTGACAATAATTATCTGAATATTACCGACTCAAGAAAATAAGTTTTATTAAGAATGGAGACGGTTAATGCAAAAGTAAATTTACATATTTGTTAAAGAAATTCGAGAAAGATAAAAGTAATCAATATTAAATATTAGTTTAATAAACCAAAGAGAAGTAGAAATAACTTATTGCAGAACAGTTTTTAAATATATAGGGTGTTTAGAAAATAATGATAAATCTTTTGTATAGGGACAAAATGAAATTTGCATAGGGACAGATAAAAATTTGTTTAGATTTTTCCAGAATTTTTTATTACCATATTTTCTCATGTTAGTAAAAATGAGAAAATGCAATACTAAAAAGTTGATAAAAAATTATGAAAAAATTCGTAATTTTATTTTAAAAAAAAAAATAAATTTTCGTCTCTTGCAGTTTTTCTATAAAGTTGATAATATTTGAGTAAAAAAATATTAAAGACCAATTTTCGGCAATTTTTAGCAATTAATATCTTGTTAGCTATTGCGAAAATTGCAAAATGGTAGAGAACTTTTCTTCTCAGTTTAGTTCATTCTGTCCCTATGCGAAAGATTTATCATTATTTTCCAAATACCCTGTATAATTATATTGTGTGCATCTTCTCATTGAAAGTGAAAAGACATGTAACGATCGAAACTGCAACAGGTCTGAAGAATTAGTTATAATCTATTTATAAAACAGTGTTTGATTTTAGATATCGAATACTTTTTATCTGAAACTTGTCTCGTGATGGAACAAGATGAGAATAAGTTCGAGATCAATGAAACGGTCTAGATTTTCGCCTAAGAGTAATTCCACTCAACATTCCGATAAGAGATAACGCACATCGTATTTGTTCTGCGTCGTAAAATCGATGTAATCATGAAATTAGTGGACACTTTAAAAGCATTTCTTGTAGATCTATCAAATCAACATAATACTTAAATTTGAAAAGAGTTAATGATTCAGAAAGAAAAATTTCCAAAAAACCATACATAACGCCATCATTTTCATCATTTTAAACAAAATGATAATAAATACTTTCATACACACACAATATGCTCACTTTTTATTATAGTCTAATGACTCCTAATACACACAAAACTGTTTATATATATATATAAAATTCATGAAAAAAGAAACATAAATAGATTATAATAAAACAAAGAAATAAATAAATTAAATGCTAAGAGAACAGTATTTAAAAAAAGAAAGATCAATGATAACGATTTAAGAGATGTATCATTACTGAAGATTGCTCCAAAGAGAGCCGAAACGTTTAATAAAGAAGATTACACAGAATTAATGAAATTAATCTTTGGATTTGAATTTAATCTCTGGCATCTTCATCGGCTGTGACTCTCATTAGCTTTAAGTTTAATGTTTATTTTTTTTATTTTTAGAAATAGAATGTAGCGAAAACACTTATATATAAAAAAATTTTCATTGACTGAAAAGAAAGTTATCTCAAATTTATTATAGCTAGTTATCTTAAATTTATTATAACAGTTATAATATCTTAATGATAAAAATTACAAAATACTTTTATCTGTAAATATTTGATATTATAATCTCTCTTTTATGATTTGGTTTTGAACAATTTAAAATTGTTTATCTGTTTATTTTACTAATTATCTCAAGTCTTTTTCGTAAGTAGTTTCAAAGAGAGAGAGAGAGAGAGAGAGAGAGAGAGAGAGAGAGAGAGAGAGAAGAAGAAGAAGAAGATAGAATATCTTCAGGAAATATTACATTTTGAAAAAAATTTACTACTTGAATAAGATAAAACAATTTAATAAATATATGTATAGACTCTAATGAAATAAATAAAAAATAAGGTAAAGAAACCGTTAAGAGCCGACGCGACGCAGAACATTGCGATATCTGATTTATTGAATATTACTGAATAATATGTATTAAGAGGCATTGGAATTCTATTTAGAGACATATATGAATTATATTTATATATAACAAATACATATATATTAGCCGTCTGGTTCATAGATGGTGATTATTAGATAAGAAAAAATATTATTAGATTTAAAAAATATTTTCAAGTCAAGAAGCTCTTGAGGTTTTACATCAGTATAACTTATTACATTTTATAATTTTTATAAATTAAATTCTCATTGTTAGGTATTTATTTACTAAGTATATATATATACTAATAAGATAAAAGACCTAGTTAAATAAATAATTATTATTTGTTTATGAAAT